CGGTGGTGACCGCCGGTATCATTTCGGTGGTGGGGATCATTTCGGTGGTGATTGGGGGTCATTTCGGTGGCGGAGATCATTTCGATGGTGGGGATCATTTCTACAGACCCTAAAAACGGCTGGGAAGAAGACGCAAATGTCTGTAAAATCGAGCAAAATCGAAATTTCGCGGCCACAGTCAAAAAATCATTTTCGCTCATATCTTGTCCATAGATAGGCATAAGTAAGTAACTAATCGTGGTGTAGTTTGTTTTTCAAACGGCCGCTTGGATTTGGAGAAAATCGACAAAATCAATTTTCGTGGTCGGCGACTTGAAAACAACCAAAATTTGAGGCAAAATGAGGCGGTCTCAAAAATTCGCTCGCACGCACACAGGAAGAATGCGGGGTAAAATATTTCCCGATAAATCAATTTATAAAGGGTTCTACTTCCGGTTTGGTGATGAATTCTTATCTTAACGATAATCTGGAAGATAAACAATGTTATTTTAGTTTGGGTTCTTTTTCGACTAACGAAATTTAAATTTAGACTGAAAGTTGCGTTTTATATTTTAGTCATGGGGTACACCTTGGTTTTACCTGAAACTCAAGTCATTTGTTATTTAAGCATTGTGCTAAAACATATGTAAGAATCGGCCTGGGTAATTAAATTTGTACTTCACACGAACCTTCTGAAGTTGAATAAATTTTGCTTGAAATATGAGACTTCTCAAGAAAGTCGGTTGGTTGTTGCTCGACAAGTCACGATGGCTAGACTATGGCTGGGCTCTCCAAAAGAAACTTAACTCACAATCGCACTTGTATTAAGACATTTGTACTGAAACGATAATTTTTGTTAACTCAAATACGTTTTCCCGTTCTGGTTAACTGGCATTGCGCCTTGTCCCAAGCTAATCAACCGAAGATCCAAAAACTCGGGGAAACGCGGTGCGTGAAAATAACCTCAAACAGAACATGGCCTTTCTTTTCCGCAGTCACACTTTTACATCCATTGCCATTTAAAAATTCTAGGTCTCACAAAAACTGCGATTTTGATAGTGAAACTTCCGGGCTGCCGATACCTCTGTCTTTGGTCATAAAAGTCTGGTCAAAAGTGTTACGTGACAGTATTCACAGGCTTCCCGGTCTAACCATTTGAGCGACGTTCTTGNAGAATCGGCCTGGGTAATTAAATTTGTACTTCACACGAACCTTCTGAAGTTGAATAAATTTTGCTTGAAATATGAGACTTCTCAAGAAAGTCGGTTGGTTGTTGCTCGACAAGTCACGATGGCTAGACTATGGCTGGGCTCTCCAAAAGAAACTTAACTCACAATCGCACTTGTATTAAGACATTTGTACTGAAACGATAATTTTTGTTAACTCAAATACGTTTTCCCGTTCTGGTTAACTGGCATTGCGCCTTGTCCCAAGCTAATCAACCGAAGATCCAAAAACTCGGGGAAACGCGGTGCGTGAAAATAACCTCAAACAGAACATGGCCTTTCTTTTCCGCAGTCACACTTTTACATCCATTGCCATTTAAAAATTCTAGGTCTCACAAAAACTGCGATTTTGATAGTGAAACTTCCGGGCTGCCGATACCTCTGTCTTTGGTCATAAAAGTCTGGTCAAAAGTGTTACGTGACAGTATTCACAGGCTTCCCGGTCTAACCATTTGAGCGACGTTCTTGCCAGAAGTAGCATATTATGCTACTAACAATCCAATTTTGGGTTTCTTTTTTTCGTAAGTTTTCTTGAAGTGTGCTTCCATACAATACTAAATAAGTCAAAAAATATCGTTTTTCACGTCAACTTCCCCCGTTGACGTGTGTGCCTATCAGGCGGCTGTCTTTCCTCTCGCATATGCAAGTTCCATTGTTTTGGATAACAGTTTTCGTAAACATTCTGCAATTATTTTTCAGTATATATATATTTTTTCTAATCTGAACATGCTTATTCGATCGTCAAACTCTTGTTTCTGTTTATACACAGAGGAAACCCGCCTTGCAACCACCCCGTTTATACGACCACCTCTTGTCTCACCTCCCCCAGTCTTTCCACCCAGACGTGAAAATCTCCGAGTCATTTTATAATTTTTGAAGACCTCTTTAATGCGACCACCTCGGTATTACGACCAGGATTTTATGGCCCAACGCTGGTCACATCAACTGGGTTCCACTGTATTTTTGAATTTCAGTTTTCCACATTGTAGAACAAAACACAAAATTAATTGTGCGTCAGCTGGACTATGGAAATTAATGTAAAGAACTAAAATTTAGGCCCCGCTCATATGAAGAAAATTTGTCTCGAGCAGAAGGGTCACCCGCCTATCCGAGCTTCCCTGGAAGACGCAACGTTTCACACATTTCCTTACAAAACATGGCGAACCGTTTAAATGACAAAAAGTTGACTCCGCTAGAAGGGTGACCCACTTTGTCCAGTCACCCTTTTGTAATGGTAGGGTCAGCCTCCTAGTCGGGCCAACGTTTCTCCGTAGGCACTTTAAGCGCTTTCCATTGAACAAAAATTCCTGTTTGAAATTTCGGAAAAACCACGTGCCCAGTGGAAGGTACATTCCAGTTGCAGAGACCAAACCAAAGCCACCGCGAGTTTGGTTATCGTGCTTGTCAGCAGGATACAGATCATTGGTCCTGGGGAAAATAATCTTGTCAAATGGAAGGAGACATTTCGGTCCGACCGTCTAGATCAAATCCGATCCTTATCGGTAAAGGTTCGCACAGCAAAGGCGAGACAATTAGAGCATGCGCGAAGGCCGGTTGGGGTCAACGTTTTTTTTCTCTCGACTGGGAAAGTGACTCTCCTACACGAGACAGGTTTTCTCGATATAAAGGGAATTAAACTTTCGGATACAAAATTGTAATAGAGTAGGAATCAGAAAAAATTTCAAAATTCTCGAAAAAAATAATATTGAAGCCCTTGTAATTTCGATCGAAAAGACTACTCAAGTTGCCCTGTGGATGACCGAACAGTTGTTATAATTATATGGCACCGCAAAGAACTTAGTAATTTAGATAACCTAAAAGGGTTTTCAATGTATTTAGGAGGAAACTGTAGTTGGGTGCCCCTGTCAGCTATCGCCTAACGCTACCACTACTTTCTTTACCCACAAAATTTTTTTCTTCAGTTTTACTCTCGCTCATTTGCCATTTTCTGAGTGTGCGCTTTAGGACCGGTCTTGAGACTGAAACTTGGTGGCTCGTCAGAAATTCATGATCAGAACTCTTGAAAAGAAAGTCTCGGACCATAACTTTCTCTGGCAGTCATCACTGAAACGGATATTGAGGCTGCATCCGCTTCTGGGCCCGTTCAAAAAGTCCCGATAATTCACGGGCCCCTAAAGCTGTTGTTGTTCACATGCAAGACAGAAATTTCAATAGTTTTGCATCTAACATGATAAAACTATCAGTTAATGAAAAAAATGAAGTATTTTGCTAGCCAGGACCCGCGCTCCTCTTATTCCTTTTATTTCGATTTGAATATTTGATTTCGGCCCCGAAAAGTTATAGGGACTTTGGACAAACGGGCTCAGAAGGTTCGTCTGAAGCGCAAATTAAATTACCCAAGCCAGTTCTTACATATGTTTTAGTACAATGTTTAACTAACTTATAGCTTGAGTTTCAGGAAAAACCAAGGTGTAGCACATACCTAAAAATCAAATCGCGACTTTAGGTCTAAATTTAAACTTCGTTGATTTGAAAAAGAACGAAAACTAAAATAAAATTATTTACCTTTCACATTATCGTTAAGATAAGAATTAGCCGCCATACTAGGGCTAAAACCCTTTATAAATTGATTTATCGGGGAATATTTTACAACGCTTTCTTCCATTTTGCGTGCGAGCGAAATTTTGAGACCGCCTCATTTTGCCTCAAATTTTGGTTGTTTTCAAGTCGCCGACGACGAAAATTGATTTTGCTGATTTTCTCCAAATCCAAGCGGCCTTTTGAAAAACAAACTACACCACGTTTAGTTACTTAGTATGTATGGACAAGATATGAGCGAAATTTAATTTTTGACCTTGGCCGCAGGTTGCTCGATTTTTACAGACATTCGCTCTTAAGACTCCGTTTTTCTATTTTTTGGGAAAAACAGAAAAATAGAAAAATGAGCTAGGAATTGGAGATTATTTCACTTTTCTCACTTTTCTTACAACAACGAAAAACTAAAAAAATAGCAAAGTATCGCTTTTAGTCGTTTACAGTATCAAGAAACTGAATGAGAAAATGATCGAATTTCCAGAACTTTTTCTGTTGTTCTATTTTTTTTCTGTACTTTAAAATATGTAAATATGATAAGGATAAGTCATATGTCCTTTTTCCGTTTTTGTTAGAAAAATGAAAAATTAGATTAGCTGAAGTGTGCACAGACCTGGTATCTCGTTAAGAGAATCTACCTTGTTTGATGAGGTTTTCCCCTAAATAACAAAATGACATTATTTTGCAGAGTTCCACCTTGTTGATAAAGTAACAATTATATCATCAGCTAAGAATTAAACTACATTTTGTCGAAGATAAATGCAGAAAACTGGCCATCATCTACACCGGTTCTATTTGAAGAAGCCGGTGAATGGCTTAATGAAAACTGGATTCCTTGAACTTCGTCAGACTTTTTCCCCCTGGTCACATGCCACGAATGTGGACCTTTGATAAGAGATACAATGTCATAAGCTTTGCTCGCTTCAAGGCAAATTGGTTGATCAAACATGACATCAAATTCATAGTAACCACTTCTGCCATTTGTCTCATCTTTCTTGGAGTAATATGTTCCTGTTTGTTTTACCAGAGAAAAACCATTCATCACATCTTTCACTTCTAATGAAACTGTGTATTTGCCACCTTCACTACCAAAATGCTGCACTCCATGTAACATGANATTAAACTACATTTTGTCGAAGATAAATGCAGAAAACTGGCCATCATCTACACCGGTTCTATTTGAAGAAGCCGGTGAATGGCTTAATGAAAACTGGATTCCTTGAACTTCGTCAGACTTTTTCCCCCTGGTCACATGCCACGAATGTGGACCTTTGATAAGAGATACAATGTCATAAGCTTTGCTCGCTTCAAGGCAAATTGGTTGATCAAACATGACATCAAATCCATAGTAACCACTTCTGCCATTTGTCTCATCTTTCTTGGAGTAATATGTTCCTGTTTGTTTTACCAGAGAAAAACCATTCATCACATCTTTCACTTCTAATGAAACTGTGTATTTGCCACCTTCACTACCAAAATGCTGCACTCCATGTAACATGATAGGCTTACTGACAGTAAGTTTAAGGGCATCAGAATTACCACGATAGTAGTACCAGGCACCATCAGGCATTTCCATGACCATGAGTGTAGCGCCAGGGACCATCAGGCATTCTGGGGGGGTTTACTATAGCAAATCTGTAAATTCGATGCAAAAGCCCAGTTCTAGAGAAATGCATGAATGGCAAAGAGTACTCTACACCGACACCACTGTAGTGTTTCAACATTAAACAAATCTCTTTTTTAGTCAGAATGGCACAATCCACAACAACCGAAGCAAACTCCGGCTGCGACATCACTGGAAACCTTATTGCCTTTACAATTTCCTCTCCAAGAATCCTTCTTTTAACCTTCCCTTCAGGGGTAAGGCGTTGCTTTTCAACTTCTTTGGTTGTCCAGCGATCAACAGCCTTGAATAAATCCACTTCCTTTACATTCAATCTCTCCCTCTTCACAACAGACTCAACTACAGATCTCTCAAGCGTGACAAATTCTTCCGACGTCAGAGCATTCTCGGTTTGCGTCTCTATAACTTCCCAGCACCGTTCTTCCAAATCTTTATCCTCAAATTTCTGAGCTTGCGGCAGGATGGAGAACACATTCGACGCCTCTAGATGTTCTTGGAGATATTCAGTGCACTTATCGGCGAGTGAAGGTACCAGATATTCCTTTGCTAAGTAGAGAACTTGCATGACATTACTTCCGCCCAAGTTCACTTCATCGCTGTACAGAAAACGAAACAACTCTAAGAGACTCTCATAATCACAGTTGGGCAGTTGAATAGTGTCTGCAGTCTCCGCCATTTCACCGTAGAACATGGCAAAGAAAACAGGACTGCTGATTGCAAGCACAAATTTGTGAGCTGGAATGCACTTCTGACACTTCCGGCTTTCACTTTCGTTATGCGACGCAGGAACTACAAATTTCACATCACTTAATAATTCGTTATTGAAAATGAATGTGGTTCTCTCGCTGATAGTTGGGCGTTTTGTCTGCCAGTTATCATCAAGAGTAGTCATTGCAGTGATTGCACCTTCCTGATTAATACAAGTTTGTTTGCACTCTCGTTCCCTCTCAGGTGTACGTTTCTCAATCTAGTACCCAAGGTTTTCTAGGGTTTGGCACAGGTTTCCCATTCCTTGTTTGATTTTTAAGAAAACTTCGTGTAAAGAATACCAAATAGGGCCAGAGCAGACCAGACAAAGCAGTAATTCCGTGTTTAAAATGACGTCTTTATTCAACCTAAAATTTTCGGAAGAAGTTACAGAGGACAAAGATGCCTTTCATTTTAAGCTACGAATGTGTATAGTTTGTGATCGGCACCTTTTTTGAGCAACTTCAGAAGCCACCACCACCTTCCAACTCCATCAGGCACCTGATTTCAACAACTGCATAAGGAGTCCAGTGTCCTCTGGTGGCGGTTAACGATGTCATCCTGATTGATATAAACAGGCTATAATTCTGTCGACCATTAATTACTTAGTCTACGTAGCAGGCGTTTCTGTTTGGTTCCGGAGCAAAGAAAGACCGAGGAACGGGATTTTCAGTTTTTGCCGCGCGAAAAATGGAACGAAAGCAAGCCCCATTTTTTGCGCGGTCTTTGACTCTCCTTCCCCGTTCTTTGCTCCGAAACTGCACGGAAACGCTTGTCACTAAAGGGAACAGCGGGTTACTGAGGAAATAGGCACCTTCATATTCTGTGTCCTGTAACAACCAAAGTTTATTGCCCTTTATCCATAAAATCATAGATTTGGCTGTAAGCCAGAAGAAAAAACAATACAGTCAAACCTCTTTAATACGGACACCAAAGAGACAGAACCAAGTGTCCGCTTTACAGAGGTGTCGGTATTATAGAGGTAGGGAATGTATGATTTTTGGCATTTCTGGGACCAAACGTCGAACTGTCCATATTATAGAGGTATCCGTAAGGAGAGGTTAGACTGTATTGAAATTTTCTGTAACAAATGGACTTTTCTTTTCTTATTCAATTTCTTAGCTGTTTAAGGTATTACATATAAGCTAAAAAAATATGGGCCAAACACACTAAACGGTTAAAAACCCATTCAGTTCCTCCTTTGGAGGAAGTTAGGAGACAGGAGTTTCAAAAGTTCTGTCTCCTGTACCTTGCACTAATGGTCCCACCGCTTTTTAGCTATTAAGCATTGCTGCATATTAGTATTAATTACCCCTATTGGCTCCTGCCTCTGTTTATCCTGCCGGCTTCCCTAATTCCTTCCCTTTAAGAACCGTATCCAGATTGTTTTTCTTCTTAATATATCTTATATTTTTGAAGCTATTACGACTAAATTACACTGATAAAAAGGTTGGTTGGATCACCGTCCTCTTTTCAGACTAAAAGGGACTATTTCCACTCTCAAATGATTATATTACGCGAGGAGACTGAGGCGAGTTTCGAGACGACACCTTTTTAACCAGGAGAATTTATAATTATCGCTGTGTACATTGTACGCTTTTTGGTCTACAAAAGTGGGCTTTGTTACCTCCCTCAGGCTGTCGGCGATAATTGCTATCAACTTTAATGCAATATTATGAACATTGCCGAGCAGGCGATGCGAGAAGCCCATAACTTGCGACGCGCGGTGCAAAGTGAGGGAAAGAACAAGTAGGTCCTAACAGTAACTGAATACGAATGCTTAGGCTCGGTACAACTTAAAATGGGTTAAACTGGTAGATAAACAAACGCAGCTAAACGGTGCCTTCTAAGTTATGCCCACAAACAGTGCTTCCTTGTTTTGCCATCTTCTGAATTCTTCAACAACGTTCACTTCCGAGCAAACGGTCACTATACTCAGATAAACATTAGAAATTTTCTTAACAATTGCACGTTAATGATCATCATAACCTTTGCTCATCTCTGAAGTCAACAAAGGGCTTACTGACATACCATTTTTAGAGTGGTTTTCGTTTGAGTGTCGTAAAACCAAAACCAAGTAATTACTCTGGCCAATCACATAGGACACAGACAATACATTGAACCAATCAAAACTCGAAGTAATTACATGTGGCTGACGCAAAGCGCTCTTTGGTTTTACTTCTGATTGGATGAAAAGGTGGCGCGAATCTTTTAAGCCAATCGCATCGTGTAGAAAGTGCAAAACCAATTACTTTTCGACACTCAAATGAAAACCGCTCTATCACCAAATGCCTAGGTTGTTACATTGCCACTTGAGTCGTCCACAGTTTTTTTCGTACACATAAGCATTAATATTTCCGCAATCTTCAATTAACTTCGTCAAAAGAGAGTCATGGAAATTTAAATATTTTCGGCCTGTTTCAAACGTCGTGCTATTGTAGCTCGGGTGCAGCACGACAATAGCACGACTTGGTCTTAGACGTCGAATTTAATTCAGTCGAATAGAACGGCTGTTGCCGAAAACAAAGAACAAAAATAAAGAAACGATTTAGCAAACTTTTAAATATATTGTAATGTATTAATGATTTATGAATTGAGTTCGGCACGGCAGTAGCGCGACGTTTGAAACCAAGTCGAGCTACTGCCGTGTTGCACGGCAAAGCTTGCCGTGCTAAAGTCGAATTTAATTCGATCAATTTCGTTTAGCACGGTAGTAGCACGACGTTTGAAACGGGCCTAAGGGTTTTTTTTTGGCAAGATCGAATAATTTCAGACTAGTTTTGAGCATAAAGTCACGCGTATAAAGTGTTCAGGCGCACACCCATCAAACTAAACACAGACAATCTAGACTAACTAGACTGCAAGGATTCTTCATTTTTGCCGACATAGCGCGCGAGAAACAAGGGCAAAAGTGTGAGAAGAAAAATGAGGTACTGCACTGGTTACTTTGTAAGGGTGACACCCTACTAACTGTGAAAAAGAAGAGAGAATTGGTCGTTGTCACTAGGAGCCCATAACCTGGAGTGAGCAACTCGGTTGTGAAGCAACGGCGTTTTCACAGCTAGACCAGTTTATTTCTGCACCGACTTTCTTACGAATTTTAAATATCAAATAAGTCTTACAAATCAGTCATCAAAAACATCTATTTTTCTTACTTGACAGCTGAGAACTAACACGCGATTATGCTCGGGTCTAACAGGCTCTAAAGATAAACCTCCACTAACGGCCACCTCTGTACAACGGCCACTTTTTTGGCGGACAGTCCATACACTGAGACTCTTATTTAAAACTCTCTGCAGCGGTCACTTTCACCTGTTCCCAAGGTGACCCTTGTGGAGAGTTTCAACTGTATTTTAATATTTTTTTTCAAATCATTCCTGGCTCCGGCTGACCAGTGTGTCACTAGAATTCTGCAAGTACCCTAACAAGACTAACAACAGGTGGTAGTCTGGGAATTAAGGAGGAATTGGTAGAGCGTAGTATCCTTTACTCCTAAAAAACCTTAGTTTGCTTGATTGGGCTTTTTCCTTAAATCAAAAATTTGCGAACGGTATACCACTTCAAACGATCAACAAATGCAATATCATCGATCAAGGGATTTTAAAAACCGTACTACATTGTGCTGAAAATAAGTGCAGGAAACTGGCCACTTTTTACTTTAGTTCCATTACTAGAAGCAGCTGAATTGCTAAATGAAAACTGGATTCCAAGAGCCTCGACAGATTCTTTCCCACAAGTCAAATACAAAGATGGTGGGCCCTTGATGAGAGATACAATATCATACGCTTTACCCTTCTCAAGACAAACTGGGTGGTCAAACATGACATCAAATCCATAGCAAAGGTTTGTCTCATCTTTCTGGGAGAAATACGTGCCTGTTTGTTTCACCAGAGAAAAACCATTTATTGTATCCTTTATTTCTACGGAAACTGTGTATTCGCCACCTTCACTACCAAAATGATGCACTCCTTGTAATGTGGCAGGTTTACTGACACTAACACCGAGGGCATCTTTCCCGAAACCCTTGCACTGCCAGCCGGTTCCGTTATGCATTGCAGATCTATAAACTCGATGCAAGAGCCCAGTTCCATGCTGTCTCGGGGAATGCATGAATGGTAAAGAAGACTCTAAACTGACACCACCGTAGTGTTTCATCATGAAACCAATCTCTTTTTTAACGTCAGAATGTCACAATCCACAACAACCGAAGCAAATTCCTTCTGCGACATCACTGGGAACCTTATCGCTTTCACAATTTCCTCTCCAAGAATCCTTCTTTTAACCTTCCCTCCAGGGGTAAGGCGTTGCTTTTCAACTTTTTTGGTTGCCCAGCGATCAACAGCCTTGAATAAATCCACTTCCTTTACATTCAATCTCTTTCTTTTCACGACAGACTCAACAACAGATTTCTCAAGCGTAATAAATTCTTCCGAAGTCAGAGTATTTTCGGTGTGCGTCTCAATTACCTTCCAGCATAGTTCTTCCAAATTTTTATCCTCAAATTTCTGAGCTTGAGGCAGGATAGAGAACACATTCGACGCCTCTAGATGTTCCCGAAGATATTCAGTGCACTTATCGGCAAGTGAAGGAACAAGGTATTTCTTTGCTAGGAAGAGAACTTGCATGACATTACTTCCGCTCAAGTTCACTTCATCGCTGTACAGAAAACGAAACAACTCTAAAAGACTCTCATAATCACAGTCAGGCAGTTGAATAGTGCCTGAAGTTTCCATCGTTTCACCGTAGAACATTGCATACAAAACAGGGCTGTTGATTGCAAGCATAAACTTGTGAGCTGGAATGCACTTCTGACTCTTCCGGCTTTCACTTTCGTTGTGCGAGGCAGGAACCAGTTCAAACGTCACATCACTTAATAATTCGTTATTGAAAATAAATTTGGTTCTCTGGCTGATAGTTGGGCTTTTCGACTGCCAGTTATCATCAAGAATAGCCATTGCAGTCAGTGATTGCACCTTTTTGATTACAAGGTAGTTTGCACTCTCCAAACTTTCCTGTTTCTGCGTTTCTCAAGGCTAGTACCCAGGGCCTTCGCAGGTTTTGCACATGTAACCCACTCTTTGTTCGAGCTTGAATATAATTCGTGTGAAGAATAACAAATAGGACCAGACCAGACAAAGCAATAATTCCGTGTTTAAAATAACACCTTTATTAAACTTAGATTTTTCGGCAGAAGTAACGGAGGACAAAAATGCCTTCCATACTGAGGTACGCATGTACATAGATTGCGCTCGGTAACTTTTCAGCAGCTTTTGAAGTTTGAGGAACTTCAAAAGCCACCACCACCTTCCAACTCCACCAGGCACCTTATTTTAAGAACTTCACAAGGGGTCCTCTGTCCTCTGGTGGCGGTTAACTATATAAATCATAGATGTAAACAAGCTATAATTCCGTCGACTATATTAATTACTCAGTCTGCGTAGCAAGCGTTTCTGTTTGGTTTCGGAGCAAAGAAAGACCGAGGAACCGGATTTTCAGTTTTGGCCGCCCGAAAAATGAAACGAGAGTGAGCCCCATTTTTTGCGTGGTCTTTGACTCTCTTTCCTCGTTGTTTGCTCCGAAACCGCACGGAAACGCTTGCTACCGGCAGGTTGACTGTTACTGAGGAAATGGGCCCCTTCAGATTCTGAGTCCTGTAACAATCAAAGTTTATTGCACTGTATCCCTAAAAACATAGATTTGGCTGCTAAACCAGAAAAAAAATATATTGAAAGTTTTCGTAACAAATGGAATTTTTTTTCTAAGGCCCAGTGCAGACGCCGAACTATTTATGAGCCGAACCTAATACATTAAATTGAGTACTTGAAAAGTTTGGCATCTGAATCAATTAGGAACGCGTGTTTCTATTTGGATTGGCTCGGTCTTTCGCCCGGTCCGGCCGGGAATTTCGCCTTTGGAGAGACTTGGAACGGCTTTGATTCAGACGCCGAACTTTTCATGTACCGAAGCTAACGCAAAAATTATAAGAATGTATCTTGTAAGTAGTTTGACCGAAATACTAGGGCAAAAGTCTGAGAAGAAAAAGAAGGTGCTGCACTGGTTACCTTGTAAGAGTGCCACCCGACTGACTGACTTACTGTAAAAATGAAGAGAGAATTGTTCGTAGTCACTAGGAGCCCGTAACCTGCAACGAGCAACTCGGTTTTGATGCAGCCGGACGGTGTTCGTTATCACAAATATATACAACAATTCACTGAAGTGGAGGTGGCTAGTGGTGTATGTTTAACGTCGCCGCGAAGCGGCGAGGTAAATATCCACCACCACTAGCCACCGACACTGAGGTGAATAATTGTTTAAGCATATACTAAAACAGGAGATAATTAAGCACAAAAATGACAATTTTTAACTCATTTACTGATGCCAACGATTGCAATTTTGGCGCGCAATGACCGAACGGCCGGGGTCGTCGCTTTTTCTTGCCGACAAATAAAACTTTTGAAGGCAGTTGTTTAGCTCTTGCGGGGAAGTTTCACAACTAATCAAGCAAGCTGTTCCCGAAATACACGAAGAAGGTGAAGAAGTTCGGTTTGGAAGTTTTAACGGGTAAAGCTTTGTCTTTTTTACCTGAATTTATCGACAAAACGAATTGACCTGAATTTATATCGATAAGTTCAAAATTAAATTTTTGATTTTTGATTTATCTCACTGTTTCAGTATATTCTAAAACAATTATTCACCTCAGTGTCGGTGGCTAGTGTTAGATATTTACCTCGCCGCTTCGCTGCCTTGGTAAATATCCGCACTAGCCACCTCCACTTCGGTGAATACTTGTTATTTAGTTTTAAGCTTATTTATGAACAAGTCAACTAAATAGAGTAACGCAAGACTTACGCTTAATTTGCATTTGTAAACAAAAAAGTTTTTCACCGATTTTATCGATAAATCAGCAGGTCAAAAAGACAAGGCATTAGCCGTTAAAACTTCCAAACCGAACGTTGTCACCTTCTTCGTGTATTTCGTGAACAACTTGCTTGATTAGTTGTGAAATTTCTTTGTTTGTTACGACAACAAAACGGGAAGGCCTTTTGATCGCGACTAACGCGAGTTTCGCGTCGCTCGCTCGGAGGAGCTGGAGGTGAACCAGTGAATAGTTAACAATTATTCCTCGAGCCCGATTGGGGTTCTGAGTCAATAGCCCATGAGGCTAGTAAAATCCAACTAGTTGGTCAAAAATATCGGGACAAAAGAACTTTAGCTCGCAAAACGCGATTCAGCCGCCACTGTTTTGGTTTTTCAAAGCTGGCGCTTTTCGCTAGTAGTGGGCTATAACAAATAGCATAGTAGTAGCTCAACCTATGAGAACGCAGCATTGATAATAGACCACTAGTTGGATTTTACTAATGCCGGATGTTCACTGACTGAGTAGCCAATCAAAGCGCGCGAAAAACACTATCCACTGTTTTAGTATAGACTAAACCAGTTTATTTTTAGATAGATGTTCTTGCGAATTTTAAAATATCATCAAAAATATCTATTTTCCTTGTGGTTGATTTATTTTATTCTTCACTACTTCTAAGTCAGTAATAATAAAACGAGTAGGGAGTTAGTGGTCTTACTTGACATGCTCTAAAGTCGGACTTCCACTAACAGCCACCTCTCTATACTAGTATGGCCGCTTTTTTGGCGGACATGAGTCCATACATTGACTCTTGTTTAAACCTCTATACAACGGCTACTTTCTTCTTTTCGCAAGGTGGTCGTTGTGTATTTTCTGTATTTACATTTTGCTTGGCAAATCATTCCTAGCTCCGGCTGACCAGCGTGTCGCTAGAATTCTGCAAGTACCCTAACAATAGCTGGTAGTCTGGGAATTAAGAAGGAATTGGTAGAGCGATATATATCCTTTACTCCTAAAAAAAATCTAGCTTGCTTGATTAGGTTTTTTCTTTTAAAATAAAAAGTTACCAACGCTACTCCTTCAAACGATCAACAAATTCAGTATCATCATTAAGGAATTTAAAAAACTGTACTACATTGTGCTGAAAATAAGTGCAGGAAGCTGGCCACCATTGACATCAGTTCCATTCATAGAAGAAGCTGAACTGCTAAATGAAAAACGGATTCCTTGAACCTCGTCAGATTCTTTCCCATTAAGCATATGCCAAGAAGTTGGGCCCTTGATGAGAGATACATAGAGGATATTACACGGTGGCGAGAAGATATGAATTTTATGTTCGAGTGGCAAGACGATATCTCACGAGTGAGCGAAGCGAACGAGTGAGATATTGTTCTTGCCACGAGAACATAAAATTCATATCTTCGAGCCAACGTGTAATGTTCTTTTTATTATATGGAGAAACCAATTCAACAAAAGCAAAATTCATTGAACGATACGACACTCACAAAGGTGACATACGGAAAATACGCCACTCGGGTCCCGGATGAAGTGGCGTATGGAATCTACGAGTGGTTTAGTTCCCAGTAAAACACTCTCCTCCATATAATAAAATCTCATACGTTGTATCTTGCTCAAGACTAACTGGGTGGTCAAACATGACATCAAATCTATAGTAAACATTTGTCTCATCTTTCTTGGAGGAATACCTGCCTGTTTGTTGGACCACAGAAAAACCATTTATTGTATCCTTTACTTCTAATGAAACTGTGTATTTACCACCTTTACTACCAAAATGCTGCACTCCTTGTAACGTGACAGGTTTACTGACAGTGAGGTTGAGGGCATCTTTACTGACACCGTTGTACTGCCAGCCATGATCAAAGGTTCCGCTATGCCTAGTGGCAACTCTGTAAAACGAAACTCGATTCAAAAGCCAAGTTCTAGGCTGTCTGGGGGAATGCATGAATGGTAACGAAGACTCTAAACTGACACCACCGTAGTGTTTCATCATGAAACCAATCTCTTTTTTAGTCAGAATGTCACAATCCACAACAACCGAAGCAAACTCCTTCTGCGACATCACTGGAAACCTTATTGCTTTCACAGTTTCCTCGCCAAGAATCCTTCTTTTCACCACGCCATCAGGGGTCAGCCCTTGCCTTTCCACTTCTTTGGTGGCCCAGCGATCAACAGCCTTGAATAACTCCACTTCCTTTACATTCAAACTTTCCCTTTTCACGACAGACTCAACAACAGATCTCTCGAGCGTGACAAATTCTTCTGACGTTAGAGCATTCTCGGTGTGCGCGTCTATAACTTCCCAGCACCGTTCTTCCAAATCTTTATCCTCAAATTTCTGAGCTTGCGGCAGGACGGAGAACACATTCGACGCAACTAAATGTTCCTGAAGATATTTAGTGCACTTATCGGCGAGTGAAGGTACTAGGTATTTCTTTGCCAAGTAGAGAACTTGCATGACATTACTTCCGCTCAAGTTCACTTCATCACTGTATAGAAAACGAAACAACTCTAAGAGACTCTCATAATCACAGTCAGGCAATTGAATAGTGCCTGAAGTTTCCGCAATTTCACCGTAGAACATGGCACAGAAAACTTAACAGGACTGCTGATTGCAAGTATAAACTTGTGAGCTGGAATGCACTTCCGACTCTTGCGCGTTTCTTTCTTCCTCTTCCTCCTTCCACTTTCGCTGTGCGACGCAGGAACTACGAACTTCACATCACTTAATAATTCGTTATTGAAAATAAATTTGGTTCTTTCGCTGATAGTTGGGCGTTTTGTCTGCCAGTTATCATCAAGAGTAGCCATTGCAGTGATTGCACCTTTCTGATTACCACGTACACTTAGCTTGTACTGTCGGTCGTCAACTTTCCCGTCCTCTCAAGTACGCAAGTACGCTACGTTTCTCAATCTAGTACCCAGGTTCTTCGCCGGTTTGGCACAGGTAACCCATTCTTTGTTTGAATTACAGCCTTTTTCGGAGTAACATATAGGACCAGACCAGACAAAGCAGTAATTCCGTGTTTAAAATAACATTTTGATTAAACCTATGAAAGGATAGCAAAGATGAGTTGGGCATGTATATAAATTGTGTACGGAAACTTTTCAGCAGCTTTTGAAGTTTGAGCAACTTCAAAATTAAAGCCACCACAATCTTCCAACCCAACCTTACTTCACGAACTGGATAAGGGGTCCTTTGGTGGTGGTTAACTACAAAAGTCATAGATATAAACCATATATAATTCTGTCAGTCGACTATTACTTAGCCTCCATAGCAAGCGTTTCCGTTTGGTTTACTTTCAGAGCAAAGAAAGCGAGGAACAGGATTTTCAGATTTTGCCGCCCAAGAAATGGAACTAGAGCAAGCTTTATTTTTTGCGCGGTGTTTAACTCTCGTTTCTTCTTCGCTCTATGCTCCGAAACTGCACGGAAATGCTTGCTACGTAGGCTAACTGTTACTGAAGAAATAGGTCCTTTCAGATTCTGTGTTCTGTAACAATCAAAGTTTATTTCACTTAATCCCTAAGAACATAGATTTGGCTGCTAAACCAGAAAAAAAAAATACTGAAAGTTTCTGTAACAAATGGAAAACATTTTCTTATTTAATTACTTAACTGTTTTAAGCATTTACATATTCAGAAAATATGGGCCAAACACACTAAATGGTCAAAAACCCATTCAGGTCTTCTTTTCGAGGAGGTGGGGAGACAGGAGTTTCAAAAGTTCTGCCTGCTGTACCTTATCTCTATCTACGTATCAATTAATTAATTCCCTCCGTTTCTCCCGCTTCCCTAGTTCCCTTCCTTTTAGAACCCCCACCTGCTGCTCTTTCCTCCCCACCCCCCACCCCCCTTTCTCTTTCCAGCCCCCTGTTTTACCAACACCTCCTTATCCCAATGGTCTTGCAAAAACACTCGTCACAAATATAATAACGACATTTTCCATCATCTGTTGCCATTTTCTAGTTGTTGTCTATACATCGACCTGCACAGCCTCCAGGAGCCATGCATGCACATTGCTCTACAGCCAGGAGAGCTCAACACTCGGTTACATATAGTGGATCTCTCTTGAGGGATCTCTGCAGTGGCAGCATCAATGATATCCATTATTCCATCCGCTAGTGCAAAGGCACCACCTACAGCTGCCGGTGCTCCTGTATAGATCAGAAGGAAGGGCTATTTTAAGTCTTCAAAGGGTTCTTTTGTTGATATCAAAACAACATTACGTAAGCGACTGCCCTGTACAGGAAGATTTTAATATAGTGGTGGCTTATGGTGGAAGGAGGTCGTTTACAAGAATCAAACAACAGGAGGTCTCTTACAGGAAGCGGAGGTCCAGAAAAATTTTCTCATCTTCTTTTTCAAAGTCGAAGATTAGATTCGTGCAAGTTACGATATTAATTTATAAAATAACTAAGATAGTACGCGCGCTCTGATTGGCCGAGAGGAGTGTTTGCATGAGAGTATGTAAACATGGTTGTGGCGTCAAGTTGTTTGGCTTTTCGCGCGCTAATCACGCAAGCACAAATTTNAGGAAGATTTTAATATAGTGGTGGCTTATGGTGGAAGGAGGTCGTTTACAAGAATCAAACAACAGGAGGTCTCTTACAGGAAGCGGAGGTCCAGAAAAATTTTCTCATCTTCTTTTTCAAAGTCGAAGATTAGATTCGTGCAAGTTACGATATTAATTTATAAAATAACTAAGATAGTACGCGCGCTCTGATTGGCCGAGAGGAGTGTTTGCATGAGAGTATGTAAACATGGTTGTGGCGTCAAGTTGTTTGGCTTTTCGCGCGCTAATCACGCAAGCACAAATTTGAAAAAGTTTTTGAGTTCAAAACTCAAAAAGTCTACTTTATTTACCCATTCCTTCGTCGGCTGAAACTTGGAAAATCGTTACAAAGAAGGTGTGTACATTTTTCTTCGCTTAAGCTGACCGTTTTAACCCAAAAAATTCCGTATTTTGCAAAGCATCTTTTTGCAAAACAAGAACTGATTACGCGTGCAAGACTTCGTGGACAAGATTTTACGACTGGTAAGAATTTCTCTTTTAATCAGTGCCATACAAAGAGTTTTGCTTTTTTTTCTCGGGAAAGTTATTTTATAAAAGCAATAGAAAACTTTTTTCCTCTGTTTGCATAGCCTGATATAAACACTCGAGGCGTTGGGAGAATTCTCGACAGTTATGCAAACCCTCGACTTCGTCTCGGGTTTGAATAACTGTCTCGAATTCTCCCAACCCCTCTCGTGTTTATATCAGGCTATGCAAACACGGAAAACGTTTTCTATTGCTTAATTGTAGTCCCATGTTGTCACCGTAAGTTCTTCATAGAAGCCCTCTGATGGTTAGCCTCCAACAGAGACGTTCTTAGGGGTTCGACACGCGTTCCTGCCCCACTAGTTCTTAAGAGTGGTTGTCAGAGAAAACCGGGCAAAATGTTAAAAATGTCAACGGAAGTGGCTCAACAGAATAAGTTCATACTAACATCATAGATAGCTTTGGGGGAGTGGTGGACAAATATAACAAACATAAGATCTTATCCGGGGGGGGTACTCCCTTATATAGGCTATATAGGTATGTGCTGCGCCAAATGGTATGGTTTTTTAGCCGTTTTAGACTGTATCAATTTTGACCATTTTGGTCTGAAATATGGTATGGTTTGTGCACCCTAGTCTTGAATTGGGTATGTTGTTTTAGAAGAAGTTACTTCTTCATCATTAGGCGATTAGACCATTTCCCTTTTAATGTTTATGCCAACCGTGTACTTGCCTTAACAGCTTGTCAGGTCTGAAATAGGGTAGGGAAAATCACAGATTTTGGTGTGAAATAGAAGAGGGTATACACGTAAACCTGTTAGTCCGCTAATTGGCTCAAGGCCACCTTATTGTGATGGCGGACTGTGTGGTCTTTGTCTATTAATTACTCACTTCTGAATTTCAACATTTAACTACCCTTAAGTCCAATATTTTCTCATTTTTCCATAACTTTTAACATTTGCCCTTCAACCTTTTATGGATTAAAAATGTTCTAAAAATCACTAAAAATTTCTCAAAAACTCATCGTTCTAAGAACCTCAGGATAAGTGATTTATTTTTAAAGTCGAATGACATTTTGACGAGATTTTCAAGGAAAAGTCAGTTCACGTATAATACGAGCAAGGCGTTAACATTTAGGGCGCGATCCATTCAACCAAAATTTCCGGAAATTTCGGTCCAAAACTCAATGGATCGGTTCGGTCCAACCGGAAAAGTTTCGAAAAAACAGGTCCACCTTTTGAGGTGGTCCTCTTTTCCCGGTCGGACCGGTCTGAATTTTGGTTGAATGGATCGCGCCTATTATCTTGGTCTGAAATAGGGTCAGGATTTGGAGAATCGGGCGGCACACCCCCACCAAGAATTCCCAGGAGTACCCCCCTGGGCTCTGACATAAGCCTCCCCTTTCGCTGTTCTTTTCTTGAATTCGATTGGTGATAACGCTATAAAGCTTACGGTATTTATTCGAATAAGCGTCCAACCTCGAATTAGCGCCCACCTCGAATAAGCGCCCATCCTAATGGCAGAAAAATTTAATAAGCGCCCAGCCCCTAATAAGCGCTCACTCCCTCCTCCTCCCAATCAAACTCAAATAAGCGCTCACCCCCACCCCGACCACTTGAGTGAATAAATTCTAATAAGAGACTTTCCCGGAGGACGGAGTTTTCTTGAGAGTATTTTACAGAAACCTTGCTTTGTTACTTCTTCGCGTTTTGTTATTAGCATTTATTGTTTTGTTGCAAAATAAACATACTTCACTTGCTGAAAATGGTGAAAATTTAATAAGCGCCCAGCCTCGAATAAGCGCCCACCTCGAATAAGCGCCCACTCTCAAGGTCCAAAAATTTAATAAGCGCCCAGGTCGGTTAATCGAATAAATACGGTAATTAAAAACCAGTAAATGCATGTTTTGATCAGCACTGCTATAGCGTGCTTCAAAGAGCTATTTCAGTTCTAGTTTTAAACTCCAATCAGATATAAAACCCTCCGTTTATATTTATAAGCCCTCAGGAAAATCCTTAAGAAGATGCATAAGACAAGGGCTTATAATTCAATTCAATTTTATTCACACTTTTACAAAATATTTACATTATATATAGTAAGGTATGAATACACTACTAAAGGAGAAGAGGAAGAAAAAAAGAAAATTAATGGCTTGGATAGAAGTGTACGGTGGTCAGAGGAGCTTAGCTTTCGAGGTAACCACCACAGTTAAGCTATCAAGAGCAAAATTTTTATTGCACTGAACTACGTCAGAAGGGTAAAACCAGCCCGTAGATCACACCCTGAGGAATCGAACTTATATATACTATACTGACAAATCTTTTTGAAATCTTTTATTCTTTTCTTTAATTATTTTACAAATACAAAAACATGCGGATAAAAATCAAAATATGAGTACATTATTTGGCGGTGGAATTTCTTCCACTGCCTCTAAAGATTCTGCATCTGCTTCCTCCTCTTCTTCTTCTATTTCTTCATCAACCTCATGTGGCACTGGGGCGGCCTCTTCAAACTCAGGTGCTTGCTCAGTGTGTTGGGGGTACACTTGTACTGCCGCACTTATCCGGCGCCGGAAGAGAAACCCGAAGCAGGCAGAAAAACAGCCCATCCTTTGGACCTCGTTCTGTATCAACTGATCCCCTGGAAGTGCAGGCGCTTCCTCAAGACCGAGAGGAGCGTGCTCTTCTCTTGGTGCGCCAGGAACGTACAGCGGGTTTCCATGGTGAGAGTTCCCGTGGCGATTCCATGTAAACCGACGCTTTATATATCTTGCTGCGGCCCTTAGTCTATTCAGTGGCCGGTTAGCTTGCACTTGCTGTGGAGGGTGTTCCTCGTGCGGTGGCAAATGTGGAGGGGGAGGTGGAGGAGGGAATGCTTGAACAGCAAGGTATTCATCAGCACCATCAGCTTCAGGTACATCATTTTGTGCACATTTTCATTTAGATTTGGAACTGCATTAAGATGCTGCTGTTGAATGGGGAAATGCTGAGGTGCCTCATCCTGAGGTCCCGCATTTTCTGGTGGTCCCTGTGCTTGTGGAGCATTAACAGGAATTTCAAGTACCACGAGTGCTGCATTTTGATTATGCATTGGTTCCTGTCCCAAGGGGACTTCATCATCAGGAACTTGATTTCCATTTTGTGCTTGCATCCAAGGAACAATAACATCACCGTTAACAACATGTTGTCCTTGGAGAAAGTTATCACCAACTTCATCATTTTCTCCGGCGTCTTCTTCACCTTCTGGTGCTTGCTGTTCCATTTGAACATCGTTTAGTAAATTCTGAGGTGCTCCATGTCCCTCAGGGACTTCATCATGAGGCACCGGAAATACTTGGTATCCCTGGTGTATATCAGGTAACCAAGCTGCAATAGGGACTTCGTTCCCTATCAGGTCGTTATTCGCATGTTGTAAATCATCTTGCACATCTTGCAAAATCATATCTAACTGACCTTCGTCTTCTATCTCCAGTGAATCTAAGACTGATTCATCTTCAAAATCTTCTGCTTCTTCATCAAAGTCGTTCTCATCGGAAATAAAAGAGTTGCTGTGCTGGTGATGCTGTGGACAAACCAGTCCACTCTGACCAGCTTCTGAATGAAGGACCTGTACCGCTCCTGGTGGGACTTCTTGACCGCAACAACGCTCTTGCGCTTCAGTTACGTTCACAGCGCAGACTGAAGAGTCATCTCTGCTTTTGTGGCAATCCTGGAGTAGATTTATGACCCCTGCATTGTCTTGAATGCTTTTCAACATTTTTGCCTGATGCATGTCAGCAACGGCATGGTCTCCCTCAAGTTGACTGCCATAACAAGTGCTTTTATTGACAAAATGATTTATATCTGTGGAATTTTGCGAGAGACCATTTTTTAGACAGATAATTTCCTTTTTGCATTTTTTCTTTCGGCAAAAAGTTGCCACCTCTCTGCTTAGGCAAGAATCAGTTTGCCATAATTGTAGCATTAACGTCTGCACGGTACGAAGCCAAGCACCTTTAAAGTCGTGAACGCCGAGGCTAATCCTTTTATCAGCTTGCATAACACCACCTTTCCAATTTTTCTTTTCCTTGATTGCAACAGCAACTTGCGCCTTGCAATGAACAGTGCAGGCATCTGCGTTGAATCCTACAATGGCAGAAAGCGGTGAGGTTTCACTGAAATTGATCTCATCAACAAGAGTATGTAATTCTTTAGGACTGACCATCAGTCCGAGCGACTTTTGTCCCGTAGATACATCCCCTTCAGGAAAGTGTAGAAATCCTTGAAACCTGCCCATAGTTGTTCTGCCACTATTACGCGCGTTGTTGAGACTTTGGAATTCGATTCTCTGGACTGGGCAATTTTGGAACTCGATTTCTTTCGACTTCTTATCTCTTGGAGCAAGCAGACGCAAAAATTGCCTACTGTCTCTGACGCCTTCTTCGGCAGCGCCACAAGTGAATGGCAGTGGAGGCACAACTCGACTCTCTTGCAGCGGTAACAGAGCAGTCAGTCCTCCTGATCTGAAATCCATTACCACTAATTTGAACGATGCGGTCATGAAAACACCTTCATCTATGGTCCGACTGCTTCTGCAGATCAAAACCATCCTCAATTTAGTTCCATTGCGTAATCGAAATATCAATTTATTCATCTCAAGATGCCTTGGATTCCCAATGCAATCCTCAATTTTCGCAGAGCTTATCGTCAATTTAGGTTCGAACTCACAACCTAATGTTGCTTCTCTGTACAAGCGCAGTAGGTTATCTTGAAGAGACGTCACTAGAACCACCGGTAGAAGTCTGTTCGCTGTACTGCCTTGAAAATGACAGGTATCTTGAGAACTGTTACTAGGACAAATGACGCCTTCTGCTACAGACTCAAGGCTAACGAGGTGAAAGCGCAGCCTCCATAAACCTAACATCATCCTTCTAACTTCAAATGTCAGAAATCTCTCTCTCATCAGATTGATCTTGAAAAGGAGAATGCTTGTCGTTTGCGATGGTTGCTTTTGAGTCACATTCTTCCTGACCAGTGTTATGCTGTACACAGAAAATATGGTTGAGATAATAAAATTCTAATCTACTATTTGATTTTCGTAAGACGGACTCCTTTAATTTTGAGATCAGCATTGTGTCCGTCTTAGACAGAGTCACTTAAAGGAATGCATAGAAAGACAGAGTCCAATTCAACTCTGGGTGTGTACGTCTATGTAGAGGTGTCCGTTAAAAGAGAGTTGACTGCAATTCATAACCTTTGCAAACGGCCATTTATTAGGGGAAAACCTGCATGACCCAATCTTCCTTTTATGAACCGGTTTTTCAGCCAGTTAGCATGGGAATGGCTACAAAAGAAATTTCCAGCACTAATGACTTAATTTCCTGCTATTTGGATGTAATAAAAGCAGCTTTCTTAGTGCATGCTGGTAAGCCAAAATCTGGACTTTTGCGAGCCTTTTTCGAAATTTTTTATTCCTCTCTTCTTTTTCCCTTTGCTTTTCTTTTAATGTCCATTTTTATTACCCACTTTATCGTCTTTCTTCCGCATGGAATTTCGACAGGTTTCCTTTCCAAGAAAGGGATAAATTTAATCAATTTAATGTTAGGTCAATGTTTCTCGTTTTTTTGTCCGTTACCCAGTCAGGATTGGTCAAAACCTGCTAAATAAGATACCAGTGGAAGGATCTAACCTAGCTAATTTTGCTAATTACCATCTTAATGGCTTATGCAAAGCTGAATGGGTCCAGGAACGATAATACGCATGGTTCCATATGTACCAAAAACTGTACTACCAAAGCGGACGACATAGAGGGTTAATTTATCTCTTGCCGCGTACAAAAAAAATAAAAAAATATACAGACATCCTTTCTTTTTACATTCACCACGGAGTTAGCAGTTACTGTCCATATTACTGGGGTGTCCGTAACAGTAAGGAGACGAAAGGTCACTGTATAATATTGCGCGCGCCCAAATATATAAGAATAATATATTTCTTACCTTCTACACCTTTTCCAGTTAACACCAATCACTCTTGCTACCGCAACTAAAGCAGCAAAAATGTATAACATGATTGGCATCCATTGATATGCTGTGGGGAAATAAAACGGATACCAACTGTGAGGTCAGTGTATATCGTAAGAGTTCTTCTTAACTGTTTGTGCACTCCACTCAGTCAATTACCTCGCTTAGGGGAGTACACTAGGGAGATTTTGGTATCATACTTGGACGATAGGGTGTTTAGGCTTTTAATAAACGGCTGCAGAGAAAATTGATTTCCTGCTTTATTGCAAGCTCGTTCCCAGAGCGAGAGGGGAGAATCATGCCTGAGAAGGTTGGTTTTATTACAATCTCACATATAAGGCAAATAGTTACTAAGCCACGTCCGAATTGAACTCCAGTAGATTGAGGTTAAATTCTACTTTTCCAACGCGCATTCCTGTCCAATTTCGTATAGGAGATACCCACTAGAAAGGGCCTCAAAGCCACTGACCACATTTTCACCTTGCACGACTTGAAAGAAAGCTACGGCAACGTTATAACAGCATCCCGACTATAATTTAGGGTCGCGGTGTACGATATAAGAGTTTTCTGAATACCATTTATGGTTAACGGGTAAGATACAACATCATTCAGGTTACGATATAAGTTTACCGGGTACAATACAACACCTTTCAGGTTACTATGTCATCTTACCGAGTACGAAACAACAGCATACAAGTTACGATCTATGCCGCTACCGGGTACGATACATTAGCATTGGAGTACGATATAATTATATTCTGGTTACGATATGAGGTTACCGAGTGCGACATAACAGTGTTACAGTTACAATACAACATAACCGAGTACGACATAACGGCATAGCGGATACGTTAAGACAGTATACAGGCAAATTCGATACAATACATCTTATGGTACGATACAATAACATTTTTGTCCAGTATTAGTTAAGTTAAGTACTGTACTGAATATATCAAGTTCAAGAAAGCTTACAGTCTTTCACAAAGACCTCAAGTTTGTTGATTCATAAAGAGAGGGGTAAACGGCTGAAATGGTCTCTAAATTGGTTCTCAGTAGCCCTTTTGAGTGCAAGGCTAATGCATTTTATTCGTTTCTAAACTAAGCTAACGAATTATTTTGAAACATTCGTATTCTTCTGGCAAATTATGTTCCGAAAAGTTCCATTTTCGAAGAAGGAAAAATAGAGGTTCGAAAGGCATAGCTGCATGACATAGAAATTTCACAAGTAGAGCAATATATCTGAGCGCGCATGCTTTTCCGACCCGCTGTATTTCTGGCATCCTCCAGGGTCGGGTTGCAAAATCATCTTAAGATTAAGGGAACTCGTAACAAGTATTTCAAAACAAGAGGTTATTGTTCCAGAACAAAAGTTAAGAGCCCGTTTATCTACGAAGGTTTTATGCAACCTGACCCAGGGCTGGGTTGTTCAAAGCTGACTTAAGATAACTCAGGACTAGTGCAAAATTTGAATTCAGACGTGAAAGCGTTAAAAGCAAATTCTGTTTCATTCTCTTTGTCTACAACTTGATGTTGAATGCTTTAAAAAAAAATTGATAAAAATAATCCGAGAAAACCGGGATTAAAAATTAAGCCCGGCTTAGCGCTAATTGGCTTTGGAACAGCTGTTGGTCAAAAGATGCATGGATAACAATGTATCCACTTGATAAATCTCTATCTAGTACTAAATAACGCAATTGGTTTTCTTATCCCCTGGATAGTGATCTATCCGGTGAATAGCATTATCAAACTTTTAAACAACCGAGGGGAAGTTGATGCTCTTTAATTGTATATTATTAAAAGACGGTTACTTTGTGCATTAAACGAGCGCAATTAACTACGTCATAAATACGTCATCAAAGGTGATAAATAATAATGCCTTTGTCGTTTTTTGTACGTCAACAAACAGTAAAACAACAGGAACAACTTTAAGTCTATTTTTATCGTCTTTCACTGTCAGAAATCAATATTGCTATCCAGTGTTTAATAATCATTTTAGGCAGTTAAATCCTGATCCGAGAGCCTAGCTTTTAAATTATGGAATTCCGCTCAGTTCTGAGGAACACAAAATTTAGTTTTCAAGCTATCAAAGTACAAGAAACCAACAAAGTTTCGGTGAATTTCATGAAAAAAATAAATCTTTTCCTTTCCTGCTTAAGTATTTTTTTTTAAGGAATTTCCTGTCCGTTTGAATAACTTTAATTTGTTACGTCAGCAACTTTTCACCCATTTTAGAGCTTCGATGTGCATGGCTTGGGGGATACTCAAACCGTGAGAGTAATATACAGTGAATTTAATAAATGATTTTTTTATCAGCGTGTAATATAAAGAAGAAAAAAACGTTCTGACTCACCCTTCAATTCTACGAAGTCAGCCATGTAACCTCGTGCTATAAAACACATAAATGTGAAAATTAAGCCAAAAATATTTAACAGTGATGTAAACCCAGCCATGTTCAGGCAGGAAATTTGCAATCTAATTAGTTCACGTCATAAATCAGTCTCAATACAAAAAAATGCTTTACTAATTACGGATACTATAAATTAGCCTCAATGAAGAGTTACGTCATTAAAGAGCTAGTGCTCAGGGTTCTTTTTCCGTCAACGTATTTATCGATCGGTCAATTTAGGACAATTCCGCGCAATCGCCTGTTTTCTCAGTCCTGTGAGGACACGCACACTCGCCAAGCAAGAAGCCCACTCTGCGAAGATCTCACAGGACTGAGAAAACAATAAAGAAATAACAGTTACAATATACTACAAGAACCAATGAAATCAGAGATTCTAGAGAGTTGTGCACCAGCTATTGCTCGTGTCCCATACGAGATTTCGAGAGTATTAACGCCATCAAAGAGCTCTTGCACAGGGCCCTTCTTCACCATTTACGAGTATAACTAGAATTAATCAGGGATTAATAAGTGCGTTCGAACATTGGTCATTGGTCGATAACACATGCCCTATTCGCTTCTTCAGTTGTAGATAGACTAACGCACTTTCTGCACGCGTTAGAAGAAGTAAACAAGTTCTTGATAGTTGTATTAGACCTATTCAGAAAACATTGCATTTACTTCCAAAAAGGCTTGAGTTCAAACTTACTGAGCGCAGACGAAGAATATAATTATAATATGTGATGTAAATACTAATTTTAAACTTCTTGTAATATTTTAGTATGTAAAAAATTATTTACCGTACAATGATTGCGTTCGACGCTAGGAGAACGCAACCTAAACTGAACGCGAGAGGCCTGGGCAGAAAGAATCTAGATTTTAGGAACACCGCGGCAAAACGCAATGCGCATGAGCACAAAATTTGACATCCGGTCAGCTTTTTATTTCCGGTCTAGTATATAAACCAATTGCGTAAGCATAACATCGCCGTCGCACCAAGTTTAAAAGCAAAAAGGGAGAAACAGACAAAAAAGGGGGCGAAAAAAATCACTTCATTCGAAAGTTTATATAGTTTTCTAGTGTCAAACTTTTGCACCACATGCTTATCTGTTTGCACCAACGGTGAATATGATGTTTGAAGTTTGCAGGTCGCGAGCGCTCGAGATGACGACTTTGTTTTTACTGGCTTTCTTGCATGCTACTGGTTTGGCATAAGTTAATTTGGGAGAAGGCGACAACTAAGAAAAGAATAACAATACTTATGAAAGAAACCAAAATGAAGACATCATCATTATCATTAACGCTAAAACCAGGAATTAAAATTTTAGTCCGTTTAATAATTTTTTTATTATCAGAGAAAACAAGAACTCAAAACAAAAGATGGGCGGGATTTAATAACAACTTCGACTTTGATGACTGCAGTCACGAACACCCGGAGTTTTCAGTGCCGGGAAACTAAACATGCCTATAAATGACTTTCATTCAAGAAAATGCCTATTTCATTCTTTTACATGGTTGTTCTTTGGTTGAAGACTTCAATAATTTCAGACTGTGCGGCTCGGCTGCTTCTCATGCAAACACGAAACTTCCAACTGCTAAATACATGGCATGAAAAGTTCGACTTCTAAAAGCCATCGAACCAGCTTTTGCTCTCTGATTCTGAGAATGAAAAAATAAATAGAGTTGTCAACTTGCTGCCAACCTCAACAGTATAATTAAGCTTATGTTTCATGGCAATCAACTCAGAGGAGTTTCGTTTCAAAACAAGGTAAAGCTCACTGGTAAATGAAAAACTACAAAGCGATTGTGTGTTATGGTTTTCCAAATAAAGCTCGAATCGGCTTTAAGACATGTAGACTAAAGAAATTGAAGAACTGAAAATTAGAACTAAAATACACAAGCTTGCAATGATAACTTTTTATGTCTTTGTTTCAGCCGGGTTAAGTGAAAAATAACAATCAAAACCTTTGTTTTCGTGAATGAAAATCAGTTTACCTGACGCTCTAGTCAAAATTTCACACTCTGAGTTATTATCAACTTACCTTTTCTGAATCTAATCAGTGATCTGTGCCTGGTTATCCATAAAAGCAATTTCAATAACTACAAAATAGTCAAAACACGAGCAGCACGAAGCAGAAGGACTGAACCACACGCTGCACACAAAATGAATCCGAACGCGCGCGGGAGACTTTGATCTGACTGGCAAGTGTGACTGAAAAAGAGATCGGAAATGCTCAACCTGGCTCATGCGTAGACGTTTTGCCGCGGTGTTGATTTTAGGTTGCTTCAACTACGGGAAATACGTCATAGCCTCCATCGGCAAGGTGCGCGCCCATCTAAAAGGATCTGAATGTGCGCGAATGTTTTTTCTTTTACGTGCAGCTTTGCTCATTTTCAATCAATCAATCAATTAATAAACTTAATTTATCCACGGTAGTAATTAAAGCTTAAAAGCTTATGTGGCCGAGCCAAAAAAAGGAGAAATGCAAAACTACTATTATAATCATTGTACAGTAAGTAATTTTTTTCACATACTAAAATATTGTAAGTTATAAATATTACATTCGCGCACATTCTGATCCTTTTAGATGCTCGCACACTTTGCCCTTGGAGGCTGTGACTTATTCCGGTAGTTGAACCAACCTAAAATCGAGATTCTTTCTGCTAAATGCTTGTGCCGAGGCTTCTCGCGTTCACTTTAGGTTGCGTTCTCTTAACTTCGAACACAATTAGTAGTCCCATATTTTTGCCTATGATTGCTGGAATATCGGGTCAAGACAAGAAGCCCATACAAGCGGTACGTAACTTTTACAAGATTTCACAGGAGGCCCAATAAGAACAAAATAAACAAACAACAGTAACAATGCAGCCTGCGTACAGCCACCGCCTCTCCTTTTGTTTGAGGGGAAGGGGCTGCTGTAAACAGGATACAACATTAACTAAGCCTAAAACAGTAGAGCTGTGTGCTATCGAGGATCCAGTGAAATGAGAGATTCTGGGAAGCCCGGCCACAGCCCACTGGCAGTGTTAGTTAGAAATAAAAGGGGCAGCTTCTCGCTATGACTTCACCTTATTAACTCTTTGTTACACTGACGAAGCTGTAGTCTGAGATAGTTGAACAATGGCCAGCCAGTCAATGACGAAAAAAAAACGACCGATGGTTTATCCAGATGCCTATTTGAACGGTGGAGTTACACACACATAGTACAATAAGCTCAGTAGCTCTCAGTGGCCTTTTTTTAACAAGGCCTGCTCTTTGCCACTTTTTACAGGGACCCTGAACGCGAGCGCGGGAGGGACCAAATTTTGCTGGAATGCGTAACTCAGAATAGAGCGTTTTAACTCACTTGGGTAGCAGATATGCAAATTTATTGGGGAAAATAGGAAGGGTTTACGTAACAAAAACCTGCAACAACGGGGCAACATGGCCCCAGTTTTTTTGTTTTTGGACACCAATATGGCGGACGTGATATCATGTGAAAACGGTATTTTGGAAAGATAGCCAGCACTGTAGCACTGTTACTCTAAATGGGAGATGAGGCTCTGGGATAATATGCTCCTGTCCTATTTGTCCGACCATATGATAAGCCTTAGAAACCGGGCACGTGAAAAACGTAACTATTCTTCCAAGTTGAAAGGCAAAACCATGACTATTAACCATTAAATAGCCTGTGGCCTAGTCTCTATCAAAGATCCGGGAGAAATATAAAAACACACAAATGAAAACAGCAACAACAACAACAAGCATAATAGTCCAGTGAAGAGAAGAAGATCAAGACCGTGACGCAAAGGAAATTAAAAAATTAACGATACAGTCCTTTGGGTTCCTGTATGTCAGCCAGCGAACGCAGACGTATTGTCGGTCGTCACTTCAATTCTCTTCATCCGAAAAGTAACCTTTTGGGTACAGAGAAGCGACGACCACGGAAATACGTCTACAGCCGTGGTTTTCTGTGCTCCAAACCGAGATTATTTTGCAAACTGCTATGCTGTTTTCCTTTTTCTTTCTTTCCTTTTTTGGGGAAGGGTTAAGTTCCGGTCGCGTCGCGTAGCGACTTGTAGAGACTTTAAGATCCAACGACGCGACGGCGACAAGAACGTTGCTTAAAAAGTGAATTTGCGTTCTTCCAGTCTTCATAGTGATTGTTCCTACCCACTTACTTTGTCAATTGTAGTCGAACCCTCCTGAAGCTGAATTTCAAGGGACCATAGTCAAGCTCAGAAAGGGAAATAAAATTTCGTCGTTGCTTATTTACGTCCTCCATAAAACGCGAAATTAGGCATTTTCACGTCGTAGTCGTGCAAAAAAGGGAAAGAAATGTACAAAGACGTGTGATGCACGTGCGAAGTTGTTGTTTTTCTTATTAAACCTATTGTTTTTTGATGTTCTCGTTGTCGTCCGCATCTTCAAAAAGTCCCTTGTGTCTTGTCCCCGCGCGCTTTCATATAACGCGCGGTACTGGAGACCAGTAGGATAGTGTTGTTCTTTGCAGGGCTTCTGATATTTCGCGCGGTCGCGGACCCGCGAAATTCCCAAAAAAACACGAAATACCGCGAAATCCGCCAGAAATATTTCCAAATACATGTCGGCAAAACATATTTAATACTTATCTTGGCTATTAGACCGGTTTTATTCACCCCAAACGTCCAAATTTAGCTTGAAACTTCGTCACTGCAACGAGTAAACAACGTCCCAAAACTACAAGGCGTTTTTAGATGAACGTTGCGAAAAACTGGGCACTAACCATAATGTTAACAGCTTTAACATTCGCTGATTTCTCGAGCGAACTGTTGTTGAAAGAGCAAATGATTATCCCTGTTAAAAAAAAAACGTTCACCAACGCTGGTCATATCGACGCAAAATTGATCGATTTTAGCGAAATTTGCCAAAAACACCCCAGCGAAATCGGCTGTTTTTTACTGATTGTTTCTTGGCGAAGTTTCCCCCCGAAATTTCCCGTGAAATCGGCCGATTTTCCTAAGAATTTGCCC